CCGCCCCTCTCGCCCCGCCCTCCCCTCCGCGGAGGTTCATTTCTTTCCTATAATGTTTCTAGGAAGCCTAGGCTCTCTCTCCTGTTGCTGCTTCTATCCCAGGCCCTCCCTTGTTTCACCATCCCCAGCTTTAATAAACATACTGTACTCTCAAAGTCACTTGGACTTGGACTGTGAAATCTTTCCTGCATGAAGTCAAGAACCCATAAACTACAGACCAGCCCGAGGCAGGGCCAGGTCTCCTTTCTGGTAACAGGGAGATTCGGGGAGGTTTCACAGAGGAGGTGACGCAGAGATGAGGAAGGTTTCTGCAGATGGGTGGAGGTTGGAGGGAAAGCTGGGCATTTCAGGCCGTGGGAGCCCACATGCAGAGAGGAATGGAGGTATACAGCAGCCAGCATACTGGATACTGGGAGCGTAAGGCCAGCAAGGTGGGAGAGGGCCAGAGGGCTGGGTTGCACATTGGCCTTCATTCCGCAGAGGATAGTGAGCCAAGGGCAAGTTTGTCTCAGGAAGGTCTGGGTTGCCAGGTGAAAGATTGATAGGGGAGGCTGGGTGAAGAGATTGAGAAGGAGACTGTTAGAGACCTGGGGAGAGAAGAGATCTAAAACCAGCAGTGGAGGATGCGAGAAACAGCAGGGCTAAGGATGACACATGGTGAGGTCCGAAAGGCTGGTGACCGCTACATTAGAGTAAACAACCCTAGGTGTCTGGGATAAGTAGCTCTTTTTCCTGACACTCTCAAACTCCACGAGCCGTCATAATAGCTTTACCATAAGTTAACTCTTCTGAAAGCACGCAACAATGGAATGAATTACCCAGATAGTACTGTGCTGCTGCCCGGTTGGTATAAAGAACAGCATTCAAATCAGGGTCTGCACATTTTTTCTTTAAGCCTTCAGTATACGAAATCACAGCTTTTTCATAGTCTTTTTCTTTAAAGTATTCATTGCCCTCATCTTTATAGGTCTTGGCCTGTTCTGCAAAGAAAACAAGAAATAATCAATATACCTTATTTTTTCTAAAGGCTCAAGATAAAAATATTCTAAATCATGCAACAATGACATGTAATAAACCAAACAGAATAAACTAAAAGGGAAAGAAAACTCAAAAATTAATCCTATAAAACTGGGTATTAACATGGAAGAATAGTCATGTGTATGTCCTGCTACAATCAATTCCAAATATTTTACAAGGGAGATTATTAAGTGCTTACCAACAAAGAAGCATACAAGAAAAAGGCGTGCTTACCCGAGCTCCTAAAGAACTTTCTCTTTAGTTACTGAAGAAATGGGGAGGGGGGAATTATACTTCCCCCCGTTTTGCTTTCTGTTCTTTTACTCCCTCGAATACAAATTCCCTCCTCACCCTAGTAAGAGCCTACACAATTGTTAAGACTCAGTTCCAGTTTCTGGTCCGTTGTGAGCCCACACCTACCTCTCTGCCCTCGGTGTTCCAGCAGCACTTACACACAGGTTTTGTCCTGATTCTTTAGGACAATCTGGCTACCCACTGGCTCACGGCCTTAGAGGGCTGTCTTCTTCATCCCTGTATCCCTAATGCCAAGCACTTAGTAGGTATCCAAAAAACTGTGTGGCATAAACAGTGACAAGTTGTCTCCGACTAACCACTACTTGTTATAAATCAGAACGACTCACCCTTGACCTCAGTTCTACGGAGACACAAGACAAACGTTAAACATCAATGATGAGAGTGAACCATTGATCGGCTGCCTCCTGCACGCCCCACACTGGGGATCGAGTCCGCAATCCGGGCATGTGCTGACCAGGAATGAAACCATGACCTCCCGGTTCACAGGTCAATACTCAGGTCAACCACTTAGCCATGCTGGCCAGGCACCACTCTTACTTTTTAGAATTTTATAATGAAACAGGCTAAATGAGAAAACAGTTTGAGTAGACGATGGTTGGGAGAAACTGTGCTCAAATGGTGACGAGTCCCAACAGACTCATCCCAGCTAGATTACAGGGCTCATTCTTTCCCATACCCTCAGAAATGCCTGGGTTCATTCCTTGGTCCTCTCTTATTTACATGGGTTTAAAATGACCAAAACTATGCCAAAACCGGTTTGGCTCAGTGGATAAAGCGTCGGCCTGCGGACTGAAAGGTCCCAGGTTCGATTCCGGTCAAGGGCATGTACCTGGGTTGCGGGCACATCCCCAGTAGGAGATGTGCAGGAGGCAGCTGATCGATGTCTTTCTCTCATCGATGTTTCTAACTCTCTATCCCTCTCCCTTTTTCTCTGTAAAAAATCAATAAAATATATTTAAAAAAATGAACAATGCCAAAATAAAATTAAGAGAACAGTTCCATTTAAAATAGCATCAGAAAGACTAGACTAATTAGAATTAAGTTAATGAATAAGATAAGTTAATGAATATATACACTGAAAACTACCAAATGTCTCTGAAAGAAAGTAAAGAAGAAACAAAATAACTGGAAAAACATTCATTTTCATGGGTTGAACAACCCTCAAATATCTTCCTATTTGATACGATCCTTATCTAATTCTCTATGAATTTTTTCAGAAATAGGAAAATCCATTTTAAAATTCATAATGAATTTCAATGGGCCCACAGATTGTTTCAATAATCTTGGAAAAAAAAGAACAAAATTGGATGTCTTACAATTACTAATTTCAAATTTTACTACAAAGCTGAAGTAACCAAAATATGGTGACACTAGCATAA